GGATTTAAGTGAGGACATGATGTGAAGTTCATTATTAGAGGTCCTAAGATTAAAATAAGGAATAAGGAGTTTTTTTTTATCGATCGTGAAAATATTGGAAGAACAGATGCTGTGGAGAAAGAGAGTTAGGGCACAAGAACACAAAGGGGTTTTTAGTAGAACGCGAAGAGAAAGGTTTCCTGCTAGGAAATTTAAGGTAATAAGTGTTTATCTTGATTATTATAATCGATCTAAGGTCTAGATAAATGTAGGTTTGTGTTGGATTTGGTGATTTGATGATTGTGTTGCAATTGATGAATTTGTGTTGGAATTGGTGAAAATACCTTGTTGATTTGCCATGAGTTTGTGAATATAATGCCTATAATATGGTATAGTTGTTATATGATGATTAGGTGTTTGAAATCTATGAGGATTGAGACTGCTTCGGTGCAAAATCGCAAGAATTGGGTTTGATTTTTATGTAGGAAATCACAAACAGGAAAATCCTGTTCGCGCAGGATCGTCGGGCAATGGAGCATCATCGTCAGACGACGGTGATGCGCTTGGCTCTCGCTGGGAGACGGTGATGCGCTTGGCTCTCGCTGGGTGAGCCAAGAGGCGATGGGGGGCATAAAAGATGAATGATACTGGAGTGCGCCGCTCCAAGCGTCGTCGAGCGAAGCGGTCCACGAAGGTGTGTCATCGGGCGATGGGCGTGGTGTCGTCAGGCGATGGTGTCCAGAATGGGATAGGTGAGTTGTCGCTCCCCCTCGCCAGGCGAGATGTAGGCGACTGGCAGCAGTAGGATTGCTCAAAGATCCGTAACTTGAGTTTTAGAGCTCAGTTTGAGGTGTCGTTCGAAGCATTGGATAGATAACGCAATGAAATTTAGTTAGATGGAATACAATGATAAATAAGAAGTATATTCTCAATACCTAAGTTAGGAAGAAGTTAGGCTCCACGTGTTGGATTATGATGATGCTTATTTATTATGATGATATGATGATGTTATGAAGAAGCTTTGTTTATTATGATGATATGATGATGTTATCAAGATGCTTTGTTTGTTATGATGATATGATGGTGTTATGATGATGCTTTGTTTATTTTGATGATATGATGATGTTAAGATGATGCTTTTTTTACTATGATGATATAATGATGTTGTGATGAATTCATGAATGATGATGCATTTTGACTAGTCGTGGTCATATCTATTATGTTGTTGTCCATCATGAATTCATGGTATAGTGTAGGACTTCAGTCCAATGATGTTTTTAGGACTTTGGTCCACTGAAGATGATATGACAATAGTCTAGTGAAGGCATCAATCCCATAGTGTGGATTGAAGTACAAAATTGTGAAATGCTCTGGTTCCAAGTGGGAATTGATCCTATTGGTGGGGATCTTTGGAGAAAACAATGATTGAGCCATCAGTGAAGTTTTGGTACCACATGTTTGAGTCTATGTTGTTGCATTGAAATATAAGTGACATTGCATAATGATGTGATTAAAATAGGCTTGTTGATTAATGGTGTTTTGACGATATGTTGTTATGTATTGATGATGTTGTAAAGTTGTGAGTATAACATAAGGTTCTGATGATGTGTGAGCCCTTGCCTACGTACATGTCTACTATATTTATTCGTTATGTCTTTTATAATGATTATGATTTACTCACCATTTCTGCTTGGAAATGTTGCCTCTATCCGTGGGTAACTTGCAGGTGATCAGGAATAGTCCGTTGAAGCTTAAAGGATAGCTTCAGAGTGTGTTTATTGCTTTTCGTTGAATAAAGGGAGTCTTGCTCTGATATGTAACATCGGGTTGGTATCGATTGGTTGTGAACCATGCACTATTTTATTATTTTGAGATTTTTTATTATCTTCATGACTTTTGCCATGTTTCAGATTATGGTGTTATAAACATGAAGTGTGGTGATTTTATTAACATTTGAACTACCTTTCACGGTATTGAGATTATTTTATGAATGAGTTTAAGACTCATTAATTCTACTGCAAAGTTAGAAATGAATTAGTTGTGATACTAGAGATTATATTTAAGTGTTTTCTTTACAACCTATGTTACGAAGCAGGATTATTTGTTATATGATGTTTATGTGAAGATATGATATCCTTGCTGTTGTTTTACATTTATTTATTTATTAAAAATATTCGTGAAATCGCGGGGTTTTAGAAGGGTGTTACATTAGTGGTATCAGAGCAGGTCGGTCTGTCTGGCCAGGTTGTTGAGTTTGTAGTGTATGACAGTGGAATACTGTCGAGACAGTTTCTAACCGTTATGATTGTTATTGGCATGAAACAGAGAAATGGCTGGAAGAAACGATGTTGCGATTGTTGCTGCTTTGCAGGCTATGGCTCAGGTTGTGCAACATTAGCCTAATGCTGGTGGGAATGATGGATCTCGTGTTTTAGAGACGTTTTAGAGGAATCATCCGCTTATTTTCAAAGGTAGATACGATCATGATAGAGCGCATACTTGGCTCAAGGAGATTGATAGGATCTTTCAAGTCATGGATTGCACAAAAGTGCAAAAGGTGCAGTTCGGTATACATCAACTGGAAGAGGAAGCTGATGGCTGGTGGGTTGGCACCCATCAGAGACTGACAACATTAGGTGAAGCTATTACTTAGGCTATGTTCAATAGGGAGTTTATGAGGAAGTAATTTCCCAAGCATGTGCGCGGGAAGAAGGAGATTAAGTTTCTGGAGTTGAAACAAGGGAACTTGACTGTGACTGAGTATGCTTCAAAATTTGTGGAACTGGCCAAGTATTATCTACATTACAGTGAAGTGACTGCTAAATTCTTGAGGTGCATTAAGTTTGAGAATGGTTTGCATCCAGAAATCAAATGGGAAATCGGGTATCAACAGATCCGTGTATTTTTAGAGTTGGTGGACAACTATAGAATCTATGAAGAAGACATTAAAGCTCATTCAACTCACTACAAGAGTTTGAACGAGAAAAGAGGAAAGCAGTATCAAGACCGCAAAAATCTTTATGATGCCCCAACTGATAATGGGAAACAAAAGGCTTATGATGGGAAGAAGACAAGTGGGGAGGAGCTCCCGCTTCTGTCAAGTGTTATAGGTGTGGTGAACAAGGTTAGTGTTCTAATGAATGCGAGAATAAGGTCCTGAGGTGCTACAAATGTGGTAAGATGGGTCATCGTTCTCCTGAATGCAAGAGTGATGGTCTAAGCTATTTCAATTGTGAACGATGTTGAATTGGTTTCTATTATTGATACAGGTGTTAATCATTCATTTATTTTGCTTGAATGTGCTACTAAGTTGGAATTGAAATTGTCTTATATGAATGGTAGTACGGTAATACACTACTACAAAACGTGTAAACAAAAACTCCATGTGTTATACCCCAATTTTTACCCCTAAGATCCCTCTATCATCTCATGCCATCACAATACATCAAAATCACGCATTAGGGTTTGTGTATTTCTTCTACATCATCCTATCTTTAAGTTTTCTCTTGAGGGATTACCAAGCACCCTAATTGTGTATCTTTTATACATGTGTTTTATATTTTACTGAATTCTAACCAAAATAAAAAATATATATCTTGTTTATTGTGTTAAACAAGGTTTCAGATCAAGGCGTTCATGCGATTGGTTCTCCAATTAAGGTTGTGGTTTTGTTCAGGCCAAAGATGGTTCCCAAAAGCCTATGATTCAGAATGGTGATCTATAATATTAGGTCAGGTTATCCTCAAGCTTCATTCAACATAGTTAAGGCAAGTTCGGTTGCTTAATTCTCAAGACTCTTTGAGACAGGTTCATGTGTTTATTTCCATGCCTTCTTTGACGAGTAATCCCAAGTTCTGACAAGTGCAAACATGGTTTAATCAAGATTTCACCATCTCAAGTTCATATGTGATTAAGAGTGCCTTGGGTTATGGAAAAAGATAAAGTCTGCAGGTGGATTCAAAGTTGGTTGAATGAAAGTCAACATTTTCAAGTTCGAGTTCAAATGCTCACAATTTCTGCATTATTCAGTTTTTTATTGACTCTTCAAGCTTATGAATCTCCTTGAAATCATCTCTAATTTCTCTTTTCAAGACGATATCTAATTTTGTGTAGAAGGCCATCAAAAAATTGAGTACATTAGAGGTCCTTTTGAAGACTTTGACTTAATTTCAAGTGACTTTCATCCAACTTTCAAGAAATATAACTCATTTAATTTTCATTGTTTTGGGGTGGCTCTTTTTGCACGGTGTCACCAATGGCGTTATCTAGAAGATTGCTTAAATGAGCAAGAGCAAATTGTGCTTAGAAGGCCATGAATCTTATTGAAACGTTTTAGGTCATTTTTTGACCTATAATGTTCTTAAACTCTAAATTCCAATTCATGTTACCAATTTTCTAAGGCCATGATTCTTTTCCTCAAAGCCTTACTTATGTTTTGAGATTATTTATCATCAAGTAAAGATCCATGGTACAAGATTGTTGAATTTGAGGAATTATAGACCATTATGTCAAAGTTTTGTTTAGTCCAAGTTCATGGGTTCAAGTTTACTCAAAGCTTCAAATTGAAATTCAAAAGGTGGAGGGAATTTCTTACTTTCATGATTTTTGAATTTACAAATTAAAGGAAGATTCAAGATTGTCTCAAATTCAAGTTTCTATATCAATTGATTCAACTTTTTCAAAATCATTTCAAAATTACTCAAGAGGTATTCATGCTTCATGAGAAAATTCATCCAAGGTTTTGTTCAAGTATAGAAGTTTCAACATCTAAAAATCAAGAGAAATTGTTCAAGTTTCAAATGACTTCACAATATTTCATTTATTATTTGGAATCCTCATTCACCACTTCAAAAATTTAAAATTACA